TTTTATAGTGTAACCCACTTGCATCCCACAGGAACTTTGTCCTTAGGAAGAGGAACTATTTCCCAAGTCTTGTTCTTTATGAGATTTTCCATTTCCTGGTTCATGGCATCCTTCCACTGAGGTGATTGTATTGCCTCTGTAACATTGTGGGGAATGGACACAGAAGAAATAGCCGAGATGTAGGCAAAGTAGGATGGTGAAAGGGCATCATAAGAAACGTAATTATTAATGGTTATTAAAGAAAGTTGGATATTGATCAAAAAAAGAAAGTTGGGTTTTCTTTAATATGTTGAATTTTCTTTCCTGGTTCAGCCCCTATATTTTTTGAATTTTCTTTCTTTTCTTCTTTTTCTTCTCATAAATATGCTGATTTTCCAGACTTAAACATGAAGTTTATAATTTTCTTATGAAAATTATGGATAGTTATTAAAGAAAGTTGGATATGGAACCTAGGGAACTACCCTAGGATATGTGACTTTTACTTGAAAAAATCCATCACCTAGGCGACTAGGCAACAAGGCGCCCCCCTGTCACCGAGCCTTGCTGTGGCGCCTTGAAAACTATGCTCAAGCCCATATTTTGTTCTTATAATGATAAACTTGAATATATAGGAGAACATAATTTAGTTAAGGATTCTGAGGTTCTATCAGTGGAGCTACCCATTATTTCCAAAGCATGCTTCAGGATCTGAGTTCTCTGCATTGTTTTCCTCTAAGGAGGAGCAGCCTTCAGTCCTCTCTTGCTGAGGTTGGCAAGATGATAGATAAGGAATTTCAGAGACATGAAGAGGATCTGAATTTGAGGTTGTATGCATTGAATTGAAGAGAGTGATATCAACAGATGTTGAAGTTTCTTCTAATTCTGAAGTATGCGAGAAAGATGAATTTCGGTTTGATATAGACTTGATGAAGGATCTAAGGCAAGGAGAACCTTTGCCCCCCCTTCCTTTTTATTTTGATTGTTGAACCTCTTGGAAGACTGATTAGAAAGACAATGGATGGTTGGTATTTGGAAGGTTTTCAGGTAAGCCTGGAAGCACCTCAAGTGCCCTTGCTGTAATTTTCTGATGATGCTATTATTTTCTCAAAAGCAAGCCAAAAAGACCTTTTTTTAAGTTGTGTTCTCATTTGCTTTGAAGCTGCTTAGGGGCTGAAGATAAAATTGCAAAAAAGCCAGCTTATCCCAATTGATGAAGTCCCACAAATAGCCGAATTGGCAAGGGCCCAGGGTTGTAGAGTTGGTTCCCTCCCTACTAAATGACTAGGCTTGCCCTTGGGTGCACAATATAATTCCTCTGCTATATGGGGTCCTGTCATCGAGAGATTCTGCAGGAAGCTRGCAGGCTGGAAAAGGTCCTACCTTTCAAAAGGTGAAAAACTTGTTCTAATTCAAAGTGTGCTCTCAAACCTGCCCATTATTACATGTCTTTATTTTGCATCCCCTCCTCCGTGGCCNGTGAGAAGAAATTTCATTTAGTGGCTTGGAATAAAGTGCTTGAACCTATATCAGCTGGCGGCCTGGGTTTAAGGAAGCTGCGCACAACGAACAAATCTCTCCTTTGCAAACGGTTGCAAAGKTTTGGGGCGGAGAGCAACTTTTTGTGGTGGAAGTTAATAGCAAGCACATATGGTTTGTCTCCCACTGGTTGGTTTCTCTTCCCCCARACTAGTCTTATGGTTGCAGGGTTTGGAAGGATATCATGAGACTGAAATCAGATTTTGAAGCCTTCACTAAGCTGAAACCGGGTCARGGTGATAGAACTCTCTTCTGGAATGATGCCTGGTGCTTCAATCACCCCTTCTGAAAATCTCTTTCCGATGCTGTTCCTTTTGGCTTCAAACAATGACGCCCTGGTCTAAGACTGTTTTGAAAGGATGGGTTCGAGCATAGTTTTGAGTCCCACCTTCAGATGCAATTTGAATGACCGGGAGATGGATAATCTTGGATTGCTACTGGAGAKATTCCACAATTTTGATTTCGACCCAAAAGCTAGTGATGGAAGGATATGGWTTGGTGACAATTCGGGTTGTTTTTCTTACAAATCTGGCTACAAGGCTCTCACAGGTCCACCAGCTCAGCCTACTCCTCGGGCTTCCATCATGTGGGGACTTATACCCACAAGATACCAAGGTCACCTTCTTTCTTTGTGCATGTGGAGAATTCTTACTGTTTGTATAGCATGTTTCAGGAATCAGTGTCTCATCTCCCTATTCATTCTGCTTTCTCCCAACAGATCTGGTCTCATTTTTTTGTTCTGTTTGGGAGATCATGGGTGACACCCCCTGACATGCCATCTTTGTTAGCCTCTTGGAATCAGCCTGTTTTTCAGTTAATGGAATTTTCTGGAAGTCCCTCCCTCTTGCATTATGCTGGACTACGTGGAAAGAGAGGAGCAATAGGATTTTTGAAGTGAAATCCTCTCCCATTGAAGTGGTGATTAGAGAAGTAGAATGGTCTCTTATTAGGTGGTTGGGGGTCCTGAAGACTTTTGCTGATATCCTCACCCACACTTTTATGAATCAGTGTATAAATATCATTTTTTTATAGTTTTTGTGGATTTATGTATAGAGCTGAAATGGTTTTTTGTTCTCAGATATTTAGCAGCATGTATATGATTATTGGTGTATCTTGCCCCTCTTTTTTTTCAGTAATACAAATTTTATACTATTTATCAGAAAAGGTGTCTTTTTTATCTGGGCTGCAGTTTTTATTTTTTGGTTGTAAAGGGATAATTTTTTTGAAAGGTAAGTTGATGCACTATAATACTAAAAAATAGGGTGACACTTAGGGGTGCTCACGGTTCGGTTAACCAAACTGTGGGCTATTTTTTGAAACTGAACCGGTACTATCGGTTTTTGACCAGTTTGGTTCTTCGGTTTTTTATATTTATAATATATATTATAAATAAACATATAAATATATAATATATTTATTATAAACACTATAAATATATTATATATTATAAGCAGATTATATATATATACACCAATCGGTTTTGTTTACCAGTTTTTCAGTTTTTTATGAGAACCCCTAGTGAGAGTCCCTTAAACTATGTACAGAATAGAGAAGTATATAGGCCCATACACCTAGTCACCTATACAAAAAGTATAATGATTGTCATGCCTGTAGAATACATCTTCCCTTTTAGTTATTGTTGCTGCAGGCAAGTAGGTTGGTTAGTATTATAGTGTACAAGACACTAGTTTACTAAGTTGCTAAGGAGAGATGGTAACCACAGATTTAGACAGGTTTATTTGACTTACTACCTTGTTGCATATGCCAAATAAAAGCTTACATGGATTCTGGGCTAGCTGATCCAATGAGATGGTACACTGGGATAAATACCACTTCCACCTAAATGAACCTATTTTATGAAAGCTTCATCAAGAACCTTACCCTTACCTTTGGATGGAAAATTGGCACTATTGTTGTATTTGTTCTCATGAATCTTGAGTGTGCAAGCCAACTTTTTGAAGGAGGGCAGTTACAAATATTGCTGTAGACAGATCGGATTCAAATTGGAATATTGGGCTAGCTACATCTGGATCCAATCTGATCAGCAAACCCATGGATTCAAATCCAACCTGAAATCTGATATGTAGGATTTGGATCAGATTAAGATTTAATCTGCATCAGACCTATTATGTTTAAAGTGACAAAAAAATTTATATGTTTTTAAAAAAATATACTAATTATTTTATCGCCTTTATACTCTCTTTATTAATGTAATAATTCAGTTTATGTTATTCATAAAAAGACTAATTATTTTTAACTTGCACAAAAAATGTACGTAAATATAAAATATTAAATTTATTAGTTATAAACTCATATTTGTGTGTGTGTAGACACACACATGCACACACATACAAACATAATTACATATATATAACTTAATTATACTACATATATATAAACTAATATTTTTCTTGGACTCGGATTTTAATCGGATTGGACAGGGTTAAATCTGCATCCAGTTTGATCATTAATTGGATTCAACTTCTGACATCCAATTCCAGGATACTTGGATTCAGGGTTGATTCAGATATAAGATTTATGGAGTCTGTTGACAGCCTTAGTTCCAAATTGGTTAAACACAATTAGAAACTCTATGGGTCCTTTATTTGCCAAGTATTTTCCTGATTGGAAAGGCCTTACCCTTCGTATCCCTTTCTGCTTCTGATGATGGCTTCTTCACTGTTACATTAAGTATTTTTCTCAGCCTTATTTAAGGAAGCAATTTTTGTAGTTAATGAATTTTTTACTTTCTCAAGAAAAAGCCTTATTGATGTTGTCCCTTTGTTAATGAAGGCATACATGGCAACATTTTTTTTGATAAGCAACACGGGGAGAAAATTCATTAAAAACAAGCTGCACACAAAAGTACAGCCAAAGAAGCATACAAAGATGGGCCTCCTAACAGCCATCCACATCTGACAACAGAGAAAACGAAATACAACAAAGAAGAGCACTGATTACAAATTATACATTAGTAGCCAGTCCTGGGCATCCCTAATCTAAACTAGACTTCCCAACCACAGCCTTAGCCAGAGAATCAACCAAAAAAATTGGCATTCCTAGGCACTCACTTGAATGAGGTGTTCAAGTCAGCACCCAGAGCTTGAGCCATTCTGACTAAAGATCTGGACTTCCAAGGAGTTTGGTTTTGCTTTGTCATCCAACCTATAACCATTTGACAGTCACCTTCAACTTCCACATTCCTTAGGTCCTGCCTAACCAACAGTTTTAATCCCTGAACCAAGGCCAAAAGTTCAGCTCTAGAGGAATTTCCTTGTCCCACCGGGCATGAGAAACTTAAAATGATACTGACCTCATGGTTTCTAACAACTCCTCCCACCCCTGAGGGCCCTGGGTTTCGAAGGCAACATTGTCAAATGTATTGCGTCACATCATCTTATTCACTTCTGTTGCTGATCACCTTTCAAGATTTGACATAAACTTGATTGCAGTTCATTTTTTTCTGACACAATTTTCTCTTGCAGTTGATTTTGAACAGGGTTCTCATGCTTGGATCAAAAACTCAGACTATCATAGGAAGGCCCACATTGCCAGATGCGGCTGTTCATGCAGTTGTTGGTAGCCTTTCCTTAATCCAAAATCCAGCCTTCTTTCCACAGAAAGGGAGCCTCTTTTCAGAATCTGAGAATGTAATTTTTTCCCTTCTTCTACCAGGGGTAAGATCAGGGTTTTTATCAGAACAGAACACACCTACTTTACAAATGAAAAGAAACAGAAAAGAGTGAGATGCTATCTATGCAGGGTTTCTTGAATGTTTTGTATTGTTACTGGTGATTTAAGCTCAGTATGCAAGCTGGATATGGTTCCTACAGCTACAAGGATCAAATATTAGGACTGGTATGGTTCAATAAATATAAATCTGGATATAATTTTTTTAAGTTATTTATTTTTTTAAATTTAATTAAGATGTAATGCAAAAGTTAAATGTTAATATTTGTAAAAAATAAATATACTGCATGTAAAGTTAATTTGATTTGTAAGTTTCTAGTTGCCATGTATAAATTATAAATTATAATATATCATTTAATACTTATTCATATTAATTTGTAATAGAACACCATCTAATTTGCCTCCGGTCAGTTTTGTACCAGTCTGCGGTGCAAGTCTGAACTGGATATAAATTTTGCACTCGTTTCTGATTTGCATTTGTTTGAAACAATTTGCACTCCTACCTTGTGCAAAACTTACAGTTGTTGCTGTTGGCAGTAGAAAACTTGCATCTAAAAACTAATGCAAATTTTGCACCACCATCTTCCTTTACTTCTCTCATACTAAACTGGGGGCACATCAATTTGACTCCAATTCTTTTTATCAATAACAAGTAACTTCATTAAATTTTAAGAAGCTTTAAGTACAATAAGGAGAGGTAAATTGTCTGAACTCCCCCACAAGCAAATAACAAAAGAAAACAAAATTAGAATTGAGCCCAAAACAAAGAATCCCTATTCACCCTTTGCTTAGGAAATCCTTCAGCAAATAAGTTAGCAGTTCTCTTCAACCAATTGTATTTTATCTCAATGTCCTTGGTCAATCATTTAAATTTTGGGAGAATGATGGTTCAGCCCAGGGTCCGAATTTTTAGGCCCAAAGTACAGTTGGGGTGGGTGTCAGTTCAGAATTGGTGCCAATTCATGAACGGTTGGTGTATGGAGTGGGGGTTTTTGACATTTTGAATGTTTATAGCACTGTAGTGGAATTCAGAAATCTCCATTGAGCCTGTCTGTACTTTTCCGTTAAATTTTTTGACACTTTGGGAGAATGACAGTTCAGCCCAGGGTCAGAATTTTTAGACCCAAGTGTCAGAGGGTGGAGCGCCGAAAGCCGTCGCCTGTCGGTTCGTTGGGGAAGAACTGGGACTGGGAGAGTAGGAGTCTGAGAGAGAGCTCAGAGAGAGGTAAAGAAAGGGCAAAGCCAAAAGGAAAGACGAACTGAAAAGTCTCAGTTCGGCATTTATTAGATTTTCAAAAATAATAAAATATAATATATATAATATTATATAAATATATATTATTGTATATATATCAGCCAGTTCAATTAACCACTGGTTTTTTTTTAAATAGTTAATCAAAATCGAACCGAAACTGTTAATTTTTTGAAAACATGAAACTGAAACTGAACTGACTGATTCGATTAATCGATTTTTCGGTTTGGTTTCGATCGATTCAATTTTTCGGTTTTTTTTTCTCACCCTAAGGTCCACTTGAATCTTTTGATCCAACCCAACTTCAGGTTCTAAAATAAAAATCTGTCAGAAGAGGTTGCCGTTCACATTTGAGTTTCCTTGAGATCACGACTTTCACAATATCTCAGATCACGACAAGATAAGGTCATCGTTCATCCCATCGATTCAATCAGTATTAGAAAGTTATGGCAACTATCTTTTGTGCATTTGGCTTTTAGCATGTATATAGAGACCCATCCTGTTGAAATCTGAGAGAGACTATTTATGACCAAAGCAAGAAAACCACTCAAACTCAGATTATCAAAACCAGTATGTGGACGAGCTTTAGATCTACAATATCAAAAGCTTGTCAAAACCAGTCAGATATCAGACAAATCGATTTCTTTCGTTTTTGCTAATATGAATTATATTATTCTAGATTTATAAAAGATTTATCAAGCCAGTAGCATACTAATAATTGAAATTTCATTAAGCAATACAAGCAGTAAGTGCTGTAGGAAAGCCAACACAATGACTGACTCCCACCATTAGCACACAAGCACAAGCACGAACGACACCAACCAGCTTATTCACCACAGACTAGTGAACAGTGAACTGTGAACACCACAACTTCTTAATTAATTATTACATCTTTTCTTTTATCTTCACTCCCCTTAAAATAYTGTTCTGTGCTTAGTGACCACCACAGGTGCAATCCACACAAGTGCAGCTGCTTCCGCACTTGCACTTGCCATCATGCTCGGCCGCTGGAACCTCACTCACAGTGTTCTCGTAGARGCTGCAAATTAACAAGAGAAACCSATCATCATAAATCAACAAATCTTTCTAGTTTTAGTCTGAGCAGTTTGAACCCATTCGATGATTCATCTCCCACTCTCAACGAATTATAGGCAGGGAGATCGAGTTCATATCGGGAGATGCAAAACAAAGGTGGTTCTGAGATTAATTACCTTTTCTCAGTCTCGATGATCTCGATGGTGTAACCGTTTCCCTTCTTCCTGGAATCACCAAGTGCAGATAATTTGGCTCGTCAGAGAGAGGAGGGGAGGTAATTAAGTTCTATAGAAAAACAATAACCAGATTTCAGATGGGTTGTGTGAGTATAGAAGACTTACACGCACTGGCTCTTGTCAGCGCAGTCGCAGTTGCCGCAGGTCGACATGGTGAGTGATTGCACGTAAGATGAAAACAGAAAGCAGAGATTAATGAACTGTGAGAAAAGGGATCGCTCGTACTCGCTATGCCTCCAGACCGTGTCCAGCTCTGGTATTTATAGACAGCACGGCCATGGTGATATGAGAGACCTGTGAGGAGCACACGACTCAAGGAAGCATCCCAAGGAATCTCAATAATGGTGGGGTGGCCTCCTTTGGTCCTGATCCTCTCATGTCATCTTCACTTCATATCTCTCCCTCACACAAATGCTAGACTAGCACGCACGTCCGCACTGTAATCTCCACTAATGTTTTCTTTTCGTGTGTTTTATCTAAAAAAAAAAAAAAAAAATTCTGCTAATGATGCTGATTGATTTAGTAAAAGACAATGGTGATTTGATTTGGTTAAGACTACTAGTCATCAACAGTCGAGATGCTTAGACTCAGCTATCTATATTTATTGATTTTCCAAAGAATAGCATCATTCATTTATCCTTTTACCATTAAAATAAGATTCAATCTTGCACTGAAATAATTTACTAGCTCAATCGGATTATTGGTTTTTGATAAAAAAAAAAAATATCTTCAAAATTGATCATGACTTGGCCCCTTCAGTCATGATTAAAAAAGAAGAAAATAAAAAGGGTCGAAAAGATGTTGTCAATGCAACAGTGGAAAAATCTTTCGTCCTCTCTAGTCCATCATTATATGGGCTTCACCAATCACTGAATCACACACCCAACTGAAACCTGTAACACAAAATTATTTAATTTGTTCATACAAAAGATCTTAATTTTTATATATATTAAAACTAAGAAATTGAGTCATTTCAATGGGAATATGGTTCGCTCATGATCTAAAATATGGCCCGCAAATATGCTCGTGCATGGGTGACCACCCAAGTGTTTGGTTGTTCCTTCACTGTTCTACGAATGGCATCGAGCCCAAGTTACTGAGAAACTCAACAGAGAAAATCGAATGAATGGCCTTAGTACATTGGAGTCCAAATATGCCAAACCATTTAGATTTTATGGTTTGTTTCTCTTTTTTTTTTCCCCTAAATTTTTATAGCAATGGAACAGTGGGAGCAAACAGAACCTCTATAGTTTTTGTTTCTTTGCAATAGAAGTTGCTTCTCATTGTAGCCTACTTTCTTTTCAAATCCATGTCAAACAATCCGTAGCCTTACGTTATTGTTATCTTTCTCTCACTTTTTATCCTCACATGCAAGGTGGTCGGTCCTCCCCCCACTTCCCTATTCTGTCAATTTCGAGGATAGAGCCTAGAACAGGGCACCAAAAAAGATAAAAAGAAAAAGAAAAAACTGGAGCTCATAACAAACAACTGAAATTTGTTGTTGGGCGGCGATCAAGACCCAGTGACGCTTGACCCAAGGTCCCAAGCCACACTCTATTGCCTACGCCCATCCTTTTGGATACTGTTTGGGACAATTGCTTTCTCCCATGCATAGATGATAGATCTACTTCCACATAAGTACAAATACAATGTAGGCGTTTGAACTTTTCCATATTGGACTGTTTCCTTTTCAGCTGTATTTCTAATTTCTCTGTGGCGCCTAGTACCGCTTGTGTGTTGGAAAGTTGAAATTACGATAAACAAACAACTGGCACCCACCCCAAGTGTATATTGGGCCTAAAAATTCTGACTCTGAGCTGATCTGTCATTCTTCCAAAATGTTAATAAATTTAACAGAAAAATATGAACAGACTCAATACAAATTTCTGAATTCCACTGTAGAGCTATAAACATTCAAAATGTCAAAAACCCCCATTTTATACACCAATGCATTGACATCAATTCTGAACTGGAACTCACCCCAACTGTACTTTGGGCCTAAAAATTCTGACCTTTGGCTGAACCGTCATTCTCCCAAAATTTAAATAATTGACCAAGGACATTAAGATAAAATACAATTGGTTGAAGAGAACTTCTAACTTATTTGCTGAATTCCTAAGCAAAGGGTGAATAGGGATTCTTTGTTTTGGGCTCAATTCTAATTTTGTTTTCTTTTGTTATTTGCTTGTGGGGAGTTCAGACAATTTACCTCCCCTTATTGTACTTAAAGCTTCTTAAAATCTAATGAAGTTGTTATTGATAAAAAAAATTGGAGTAAAATTGATGTGACCCCAGTTTAGTATGAGAGAAGTAAAGGAAGATGGTGGTGCAAAATTTGCATTAGTTTTTAAGATGCAAATTTTATACTGCCAACAGCAACAACTGTAAGTTTTGCACAAGGTAAGAGTGCAAATTGTTTCAAACAAATGCAAATCAGAAACGAGTGCAAAATTTATATCCAGTTCAGACTTGCACCGCAGACTGGTACAAAACTGACCGGAGGCAAATTAGATGGTAATCTATTACAAATTAATATGAATGAGTATTAAATGATATATTATAATTTATAATTTATACATGGCAACTAGAAAATTACAAATCAAATTAACTTTACATGCAATATATTTATTTTTTACAAGTATTAACATTTAACTTTTGTACTACATCTTAATTAAATTTTAAAAATAAATAACTTAAAAAAATTATATGCAGATTTATATTTATTGAACCATACCAGTCCTTATATTTGATCCTTGTAGCTGTAGGAACCCTATCGAGCTTGCATACTGAGCTTCTTAAATCACCAGTAACAATGCAAAGCATTCAAGAAACCCTGCATAGAAAGCATCTCACTCTTTTCTGTTTCTTTTCACTTGTAAAGTAGGTGTGTTCTGTACTGATAAAAACCCTGATCTTACGCCTCGTAAAAGAAGGGAAAAAATTACATTCTCAGATTCTGAAAAGAGGCCCCCTTTCTGTGGAAAGAAGGCTGAATTTTGGATTAAGGAAAGGCTACCAATTCAGTATTTTATTATCAAACTTTAACATATTTCTTTCAATATTCCCTTTGATTGATCCTGCCCTCCAATTCCAGCCAGTCTACATGATTGGTCCAATATCATTCTGTAAGTGGAAGACCTCTCCCATGGCACAATCCCAAAATCATCATTGTACTCCTCCATTCCTTCAACTAGGAACTGCCAGGGAAATGCACCTGCGCCTGCTCCATTCTTCCTTGCTGACTCGTAAATGATGTCATAAATAGTTTTGTAAAATTTATCTCGATGAGATGGCTCAAAGTCCTTGTTCTTATTTGACAACCCAAATTCAGTAACCATGACAGGCTTCTTCAACACTTTGTCACCATCTTCTATGTGAGAAATTACCCATTTTGAGACAAATTTCAGTTTGTCTTCCAGTTCTTTCTCCTTAAACCTACAGAATAAACCAATTAGATACCATCTGTGTTTTGATTTAGATTGGTAATACAACAACAAAGAAAACATAAAGAGGTTTTCCCTTCAGACAAGAGTAAATTCTACAAATTGAACCATTTAGGTTTCAAAGCACCTTCCCATATTATATGTGATTTTGTAGACAAGAAATTCAGAACAATTAAGTTATTGTCTTTCAATGCTTACCAGTTATCAGGATAAACATGTATAGAGGCAAAATCAATGGTTGAAATCTCTGAATTTTGGATAAAATCAGATCCTAGGAGAGTTGCCCATGCTTCTGGGTTCACACTCAGTTTCTCTGGGTTCCTGCTAGGACCATAGAACCCCTCAAGCCCCACGGTCAGCAAATGGTTCTTATCAATTGATTTCACAAAACGACTCATCTCTTCAATCCAATCCTGCAATTCTTCACCAGAGAATGTAATCAAACTCAGGACTTCAAAAAATAAAAGAAAAAAAATTCAGTAATCTAAATTGCTAATCTTCTTCCATTTACCATTCAATCATCTCTCTCTCTCTCTCTCACTCACACACACCCACCCACCCACCNACCCACCCCTCACGTGCACACATGCACACAGAGGACTTACTTGAAGGGTGTCACCAGAAGGATCAGACATACAACGGGGTTCATTTATCAACTCCCATGCAAAGATAGTAGGATCGTCCCTGTATTCAATTCCAGTGAGACTGTTCCTCCTTGTCAATATAGTCTGCAAAAGGTAAGTCAAATTGAACCGATAAAAGCTCTAATATCAGTGTATTACTTTGCATTTCAACAATGATGTGAGTTCAAAAATTGAGTATTAAACTAGCTATGCTACATAGCCTACACTACTTCAACAGAAGAAAAGGTCATTTTAAGTTTGAGTTTTGTCCTATACATATCTGCAAAGTTTCCTCAGTAACTTATCTGAGATAGATGATCTATAACGGATAATTCCTCTCATTAGTAGCTTTCCTCACATCCTTTGCTTTAACTGCCAATGGATATCTTGATACTTCAGATATTCAAGGTGGGTTTAGCAGGTCTGATTTTATGGTCCATAATCAACAATTCAAAGTGCCAAAATAAAATAATGATGTCCTTGATTTTGGGTATGCAGTTGGTGTTTCTCTGAAGCCACTCTGTATGTGCAGGGGTAAGGCTGCATACATCTGTCCCTCCCCAGACCTCACATCAGTGGGAGCCTGGTTTACTGGGCTAACCTAGTTGGTGTTTCTCTGAAGCCCAAATGGCCAAACTAATATTTTATTTTTATCAATATTCCAAGACCATAAACTTCTCTCAGAAGAGAATCCCGGTGAAAATTCCATATTGGTTATGAGTTATCTAGAAATGACTCCACTATCATAATGTTAATTGGCAAATAACAACTACAACCCACCTTGACATAATTCTTGAAATAACTTCGAATGGATGGATCAAAGAAGAACGAATCATTGGAAGAGCTCAAGGCAACACCCTCTTCCCACGCCCATTTGACATACTGAGTCTTCCCACCATATGCTTGCAAATTATTGACCAAGCTAAGAATCAACCTGATCCCATGCTGTCTGGCCTCTGCAATGACACCATCCAATGCCTGCCAGTCTAACTGGTTATTAAATGAATAAAGAACACAGGGTTCTTATAATATGGCACACTACATGACATCGCTACAGTAATTCTAGAATATGAATTAATTAGAAAGAGAACAACTAGAACTTACATTTTTTATTGAAGCATGGTGCAAACTAGAAAACTCAGGAAAACAGAGCAGTAGGTTAACTCACTGGAACAGAGGAAGTAATATAAAATAGTAGCCAGCTTATCTTTTACATACTAAGCCTTTGTCTCTTCAAAATGGGAACCAGCCCTTTTATCTCTAAAATTTGGTAGTAAAGCGTTATTTGATCAATAATTTGGTTAATCAGACATTCTTTTCTTTTCCTTTAAGCTTGCATTTGAACAAACAAATTAGAATAGAACGAAGAAAACAGACTCCACCCAAAAAAATTTCTCTTATTTTCAATGTGGTGTCAAGTTTTGATTTTTCTCTTCATTTAAACAGTTCATCGCTGATCATTCTTCTTCTCGATACCCAATGGGTAATAGACAATTAAGTAAATAAAAGCAATAACACACAAATTATCACTTAAACCCTTCCAATGAAAACCAAAACTAAACTTTCAGATACCCAAAAGAGAAAAGAAATCGAAAATGATAACTGAGTCGCAACAGTTTTTGCATCCCTATGACGAGACACACACAAATGAAAAATATAAGAACGGAAGAGAAGGGATTTCTGCAATACCTTGAAGACGCGCTCATTAAATCGTCCAGGGGAGGTCTGGAGCGCATTGTACGCTCCATCGTTAAAAGCCCAAGTTCGACAAACAGTCAGGCCCATTTTTGCACCAGCTTGAAGCATTGCCTTGACTCTAGGCCTGCTGAAGGCCTCCACAGCCTGATCCATCAACCAGTAAGAGTTCCAACCGTTCACATAGAACGCCCTCCCGTCCACCATGAATCGAGTCCCATTCCTCTCCACAAAAGCCATCTTGGGTTCTTCAAAATGATACAGAGTCAAGTCCCCCAAAGATATGTAAATGAAAACAACACAGGATGCAAAACCAAGAAGAGGGTACAACAAGCCATTTCCGGCCACCATCCTCTCTATACTCTCGAACCCAAAATTCAAACAGATGGCGTTATCCCTCCTGAGTTCTACACCAAGTAATTCAGAACAAGTAAAATCATTCCCCAGAAAGAACAAGAAAAATCAAAATTTTAGATTCCTAGATACCTTATTCCCTCAAAACTAGGGAACCCAAACAAACGGAAACGGTTCGCTCTGTTCCTAAGTGAAGAGGGTGTTCACTGTTCAGCACTCCAAGTGCGGTACTTGGAAAATTTCAGAACTTGGAACCCGGGAGATGCCAAAGTTAAAAATCCACAATGAAAAAGAGTCAGACACTTATGACAAAGTGACCCAGATGCCTATGATAACTGAGATACAAGTGTACTCCAAGTTATCATCCATCAAAACAAGGAAGGAGAGAGAGAGAGAGAGAGATTGGGGGGAGGGAGAGAGAGAAGTCGAGGTATAAATGAGGGATCAGAATGGATCTTGTAGCTCCTTGTCTAGTTTCGGGGGTTTTATATGAAAATGCTAGTGTTAGAAGGATTAAGAGGGAAGAAAGTGCCAAAACAAGTAAGAGAGGACATCCAACTGACCACTCTCAGGAACATGGATGGACGGGAGGGTGGCGTGCGGTGGAATGTTGGTATCAAGTTTGGCTTTCTGGGCCATCTGTCCGTTCAAAAACCCTCCTGATCCATAAACAAAGTACAAAACTACAAATTACAAACTCATTTCCCCATTTATTTGATTCTTTCCTAAAATACAAAGAGAAGAAAAAGAAGCCCACAAACAATTGGAACATCAACTTCTCGTCTCAGTTGGTTCTAAAATCATAGTCATTTATACAATTATACCCTTCATAATTATTAGAGGGAGAAAGCTCAGAACCGAGAAACCCAACCAACCCAAGCTCTGGTCCTGCCCATTTGATGTGAGTGTGAAGACTGAGGACGACAGTAAGCTGTAGTTTTCCTCTAAGAAGTAACTCTCAAGTTTCTCAATATATAAAAATGCAGTCTGCTTCTTTTCTTTTTTTTTTTTTCATTTTCAGATTGATACTTTAGAAGGAAAAATAGAGCTATGGATATATTTGATTAATGGGGTGACATCATTTCTCTGCCATAAAAGGAAGAAAGAGTTCCCACATGTGAGGTTTGTCGCTTTACAAACGTCTGATTAGAATCTCATGGTCAAAAAGTGTTAAAAGAAAATCAAAACCCATGAGAGTGGTCCATTAGAGAAAAAGAAAAATTAGGGCCAAACAAAGATGGTGTTAAGGCGTTGGGTATCTGTGCTAATGTGGTGTTTAAAATTAATTTAGTTTTGAAATTAAACAAACTTCACTCTAATTAGAAAATAGGAGGTAACAACTCAAAAGTTCTACTTTAATGGCTGGCATGAAAAAGAAAAACCAGGCAATTTGTGTTTGTATGTTTGCATGGCATCAATGAAGGCAATTCTTGTCCGTTTACCCCAAAAACACTACTAACATGGAGGGATCGTGAGCATACCAAACACCCTCTTAATCAATATGCCATGTGAAGGGATCTGTGACCCGGAACCCAATGGATTGGCTGCATGTTCGGTTCAATCTCACAGTCTGCATCTAAACTCAATCTGTGAGTTCTTCTTATTGGTTTTTATTTTTATTAATGTGAAAAAATTTATTTATTTATTTTTACATATTAAAACATGGTTCTATTTGTTTACCTGGCAAGCTTTTTAGGAATGAAAACTTATCCTTGAATTAAGGATTGGAAGAATTGGAATTGTTTTTGAGCTATAAGTTAACTGAAAGATTGTTAGTCTTTTGGGTGTTGGTTTGACAGAAAATAAGACAGAAAGTACTTAAAGAATTTTTACAGAAAAGAGTTTTTCCTTAACTTATGTTTCTCTCTTATTTTCTATCAAACCAAACATAGCCTTGAGGAAGCCCACTAATATGGTGTTTGATTTGTCGGTATGTTTATGATAATTTTATTTATCAAAAAGTGACTTATCATGCAAATTATTTAGTCTTTAATAAGTAAATCAAATTTTCTAGTGAAATTCAGTTTTTTTGGTAGATAGAAAAAAAAAAACTCTAGTGAAGTTCAGTTTTGTTTTCCTCTTTGTATGCCAGAAAGTCAAATCAGTTGATATCCGTAAAAATGTCAGTTATCTATAGTGAACCAAACGCAGTGCAAATGACCAGACTAGCTAATGGTTGATTATATAAATACAAATGATTCATCTCTAACATTATTAATATCAAGATAAAACGTTATATATAGAGAGAGATGGACCATTTGACCCATGACCCATTAATTTTTCTATAATAAAATAATTAATTTTGTTTGAAGAAGTCGGTAGACCGGACGGAGAAATCAGTCTCCTTCAATCACTAATAATTAATATCCCCTATCATATTCACTGGCCCCCTCTATTTCATTTCAATTTCCGGAGGATCTTCATTCTTCAATAAATAATGATGCTTAGCTTTAAATAATGATGATCTGATGGAATAATAGCAATGGAGGGGGGGCAATTATAGAGTTTATCTAATGGATTATCTACTTCAGAATGGGCCCATCACATGAAGGAGGAGCTATTTGTGACGTCCGATTTGGATCTATTTAACGGCATATTTTTCTCTTATGCAGAATGAGGGAGAGCATGATATAACCAATGGCAGTGATGAATTGGATATAGTGTGAGTGTGAGAAAGGCTGAACGGGATGTCTGTTAATTAGGCTGTGGAAATTATAATTTTACACACTAGTAATAAAATGCATGGGACCTGCATCATTTATAGAGAAATAAATTAATTACTAGTGTGGAATATTTTTTTTTTTTTGCTTTTTTTTGGGAAAAATGATGTCAGCTTAGAGCCATATAGGTTTGTATATCTATGAAAGCCATTTTTCTAAAATATGGCATTTTGGATATTTATTGTGACGATATGTGTCTTAAAATCGGAATAAATACTAATGATTCATTTGGTTCACAAGAATAGAGGTCTGAAATTGGAATGGACTATTCAAATTCTAACTGTTTGGTTGGACGGAATCTGAATCTCATTCCCATTCTTGTTGGGATGGCATTCCTCCATTTAAGGGAATGGTCATTCCCTGTTCCTTTCTTGAGAATGAAATGCCATTCCTGCTGATTCTTATTCCCATTTCCATTCTCATTCCTATTTGAATCAGACAAACTATGGGAATAGATCATTCTGATTCCGACTTTGAAGGATTTCGATTCTAATTGTGATTCTGATTCTGACTGAACCGATAAAATATTGTTTTATATTTTGTGTAGAATTAACCACTAAAATCCAAGAAAAAATTACAAATAGGTACCTTATACTTTAAGGGAGTGATACTTAAAAACCTAAACTTTCAAGTGGGACATTTTAGTACCCTGAATTTTCATAAATATACACACTTAAGTCCAACTGTATTAAAACTAACATTTGAATGAGGGAAAATTGCAAAAATACCCATATTTAGATTCTCTTTTGCTCACTGAACTTTTATTTTACTCTTTCTTTCCATATGGAACCACCTCTATTCTATACTAAGAATAAAAGCATTTGAATGAAACAACAGAAAAACAAAAAGAAATGTAACGTTAGTTGTAAAAAACTGGACTCAAGTGTATATTTCTGAAAGTTTAGATTTTACTAAAATATTGCATTTGAAAATTCCTTTTTTTGGTAATCAGCTCTTTAAATGTCACTCCTCCCAAAGTACAAGATACGTATCTTTAATTCACCAAAAAACAGTTTTTTGGATAAGGGAATCTCGACTTCTATGTATAATTTAGTGTCCGCTAACAAATAACTTTGACTGTTGAAAAGATCCTTCGTAATGCCGCCACGTTACCATTAGAGTGGGGTAAAAGAGTAATTGCTCTTATTTTCTTTTGATAAAAAAAAAAAAAAAAGGTTAGATGTGGGCATCAATTGGTTACTGTGTCAAGCTCAAAAACATTCTCAACAGCCTATAGGCCCTATACTATACTGTTGGCTCCAACTCCAACAGCCAAAATTTTTCTATCACCTAGATGCCACGTAGGCAAAATGGTGAAAACACTGAACATCAAAATGATGCTTTCTCCAATTCTCACCGAGTCAGAGACATTTAGTGATGTTTGAAACGGCTTGAACATGTTGAGGGAAAGAACAAAACGTCCATATAATGCTGACATGACAAATGCCTTGGAGAAACAACTCTGGTGCCAAACACTATCCTAATGTGAGGCTCAGAAAAAAGAAAAAAGAAAAAAAGCAGCAGACAATCAATTGTAGCATTGGTTGATTTAAGTTAGGGGGTCATTTCGCCAACTTCACAATACCAATTGCCAGCTCTGCTAAAATGATGAACAATTAATCGATATGTGCAGTGCATGATCTGATTTTCATTTCATTAAATAAAAAAAATTGTTTTATCGGGTCCAGTACTTAATATTTGATTCCCTTAACATCTTTTCATTTGAATTGCTTTGGCCCTTGTAATTATCCAGAATCATTCATGCATGGTTCATATGTAGACCAGTAGACATTTAGCAGGATCTCTTCAAACCTATATATATATATATATATATGAAAAGATATGAATAAGACATTTGGTCCATACTTTTCCTTCCACATTCTATATTTTCTACAAATATCTTGTCTTGAGATGTCAATGCTCAATGGGTTGAGTTTGGTACAGTCTCGATTCGAATCCAAACCAATTAAATAAATAAAGAATATCAAACGCTGATCCATCTCATCTCATATATAATATATCTACACTCAACTAAATTTATATTTGTAAATATTACAATATATTTTAAAAATAGAAAAAGAAAAACAAATATTTTAACGCAACAAACAATGTCAATAAGTCTGATTAAACAATCATAGGTTGAAATCAATAACCGAAACTGACCTAAAACTCAATCAACGCTAACCCAACCCTAAACCACTGACATCCCTAAACGTATAATAGTAATAAATGGGGCTAATAAAATTGATTGTTATAAGCAATGAGTTATGAATTAGTTAATTAATTACCATTTTTTTTTTTAAATTAAGAAAATTTTAGGTTGCGTTTGGCTGTAGTGCAAATTTTATTTGTACTGATAATGTTATTGTAGTGCATATGATTTGAGTGAGAATATTGATTTATTCTTGTTTCAATTTTCACTTTATTTTGTTTGATTGAAGTGAAAATGAAGTAAAACAAGTCCTGAAGCAAAATAAAATAAACCTCAAAATAAAATTAAACCAAAATTTGCATTTATTTCATTTTCAGTCCAATGCATTTATACTAGTGCAAATAAAATCACATTGCAACCAAAATTAACATGTCTTGGCACATATCTTACTAATAAGCAAGAAGAAAGGTGAATACAAGATTCAAATTTTCGATATGATATGCCCCACATCATATTTGTATCTTTTAGATTCAAATACACCTATTTAAAGGCACTTTTATGATTTTTTTTAATAATAAAAATACATAAAATAAGGCCAAGCTGAAATTTTGAAAAAAAAAAGAAATAAAAAACACAAGGCTCAAAGTATCATTACACTTATACACCCCTAGGATGTATCCATATAATCATTGAATTTGTGCAATTAATAGGCACAATTTTAAGCCACCATTGTGGATCAAAATCACCCATTAACAAAAGATTAACTATGAAAGCACTTTTATAAAAGCATTTTTATCGAAGAATTTTTATAAAAGCACTTTTACTAAAACACTTTTATGAAAGAACTTTTACGAAAGCACTTTTACAAAAGAATTTTTACGAAAGTATTTTTACAAAAGCACTTATATAAAAATACTTTTATAAAAGCATTTTAACAGAAGTACTTTTATAAAAATATATTTACGAAAGCACTTTTATAGAATACTTTTGTAAAAGTGTTTTTTCATGCCAAAGTATATTTATGTATT